GTTGAATAGCATGCAGTGAGCTACAGCTGTGGCTACACAGCAAGGCTCATTATTGTTTAGGCCAGAGTAAAAATATTCTCTTAATATACGTGGCAGGCACTGCCAGTTCCAGCGTGTAGTATAGTGGCCTTTCTGCAGGTGACTCCACCTCAGAAATGTGCATTTTTTTTCTGCATAAGTAAAAAATCTGGAAAAACTTTTACAGATTTATATTTTGATATATTTATAAAAATGTATAAATAAATACAAACATACTTTCTATATTAAATATATAAAATTATATTGTGACAGATGTGTTTAACTTCATGCAGGGAGAAGTGTAGCCTGGATTACGTTATATACACACATGCACTTATTTATATGTATAAATATATTATACAAAACTAAAAGTGTAGTATAGCAGATGTGTTTGATATCATATAGTAGCCTGGATTATTTTAACTGAAGTTATTTTGATGAAGAGGCACAACAGGGATGAGAATCGGTTTTAAATCCTATTTAAATCTGACTTCTGAAAGATACGTTTTCCATCATGTAAGTAAATTCAGATTAAGATAACTCTGTAAGGCAGATAACTTAAGTGTACCTGATTCAATTGCTGTCTGCTGCAAGAGGGACTGAAGCCTTAATTTAGAAATTAAACTCATCCCTGATCTAAAGGTGAAATCTAGATTCTGTTGAAAGCTCTATTTTAAGTTTTGCTGGATGAAAAAGAGCCAGCATTCTGTGTATGACTTTTATTCAACCATATTTTCTAGTCACTTTATTCTGACATAGCTCGTCACGTATCTGTTAAGTGCTGACAGTGTAGCTGTAGCTTGACTGTGCAGTGCCATGAAATATTTGACTACAGTGCAGTAAGAAAAATAGTGCTGTTCTATGATTTCTTAAATGACTCATGTAGAAGAAAGTTGCATTATTTCCTGTTTTCAGAGTTTTTTTACAGTTTTCCCAGTATTTCTGTTTCACTGTTTTCTTCAGTTTCTTGATGCCTGGAAAGAAAGAATTGTTCTATTCTTGACTTAGCAGAGATCAAGTCTGCCATTTGTTTTCACTTGAAAATGTAATCTGTGTAGGTGGACCAAAAAGTAGTAAGGGATTACTGTTCAGAAATCCAATTTGTATTCACTTAATGAATTATTGTTGTGCAGAAATAAAGTTCCCTTTCCTTTACATATCCATCTTCCTGAACACACAACAATAATGTTTAAAATATGTTAAAGTGTTGGTACAGTGACAAAACTTCAGTCACTTCTCTGTATTTATGCAGTGGTTCTTCTTTTGTGTGGACATGCGCATGGTTGCAGAATTAAGTAGTCATTAGTCAGTTGCTGATTATTTATGAAAAGCCTGCTCTGAAAAAAATATTAATAAAGCAATTTTCTATGCTTCATACTCCCAGCTCATTTTGGGATGCTGCCCTAGAAAATGATGTGCTACATTTTTTACAAATTCAGTATTACCAGTTCTGGGCCCCTCAGTTTAAGAAGGACAGGGACCTGCTCGAGAGAGTCCAGCGCAGGGCAACTAAGATGATTAAGGGAGTGGAGCATCTCCCTTATGAGGAAAGACTGAAGGAGCTGGGTCTCTATAGTTTGGAGAAGAGGAGATTGAGGGGTGACCTTATTAGTGTATATAAATATATAAAGGGGGAGTGTCACGAGGATGGAGCCAGGCTCTTCTCAGTGGCAAACAATGATAGGACAAGGGGCAATGGGTACAAAGTGGAACACAAGAGGTTCCACTTAAACTTGAGAAGAGTGAGGGTGACAGAACACTGGAACAGGCTGCACAGAGAGGTTGTGGAGTCTCCTTCTCTGGAGACATTCAAAACCCGCCTGGACACGTTCCTGTGTAACCTTATCTAGGTGTTCCTGCTCCGGCAGGGGGATTGGACTAGATGATCTTTTGAGGTCCCTTCCAATCGCTAACATACTGTGATACTGTGATACTGTGATTACCAGATATAAACTACAGTCTTCAAAAATATGTAATTGAGACTAACCTTGACTGCAGTAGGCTATAACTGGTGGTCTTCAGCATGAGGGCACACCAATACATATTTTTTCAATACGTTGTTCTAGAGCTCCTTTCAGTTGCCTCTTCTACTTCCTGCTGTTACTTTTCGTTGTCACTAAATTATTGCACGTATCTGGAAAGTGTGAGAATACAATCTGAAACCACAAAAGACCACAGCTATGGAACAGTAGGAGTCTTAATCTGGTTTTGATAGAGGGTGCATTTATTTCCTCTGCTCTTTTGTTTGTTGTTTAGTTTTGGTTTGGCTTTAAAAAAAGCTTTCTTAAGCATCATGCTGTAAGCACAAAAGCTTATTATTTAGTTGCAGTAGTGTACCAGGTGGTTGTGAAGCAAGATCTAGTTTGTGCTTTGGAAAGCTTTATTCTCTGTTCCTTCATAGGGATATCCAGCAGAGATTTTCCACTGGGATGTGATAACTTTATGTATTTTCCAAGTCTAGGTGGCAAATTTCTTGATGTTTGCTTTAATGCCTCTAGTTACAATACATACTTCACCCTCCTGCCCCATTGTGAACGCAAGATCTCATTATTAAAAGGAGTTTGGCAGGGAGGGCTGAGCAGGCATGACTCTGCTGTCATTTGAGGCTGCATTTAGGTTTTACTTTGTTATAACCATGGCTGAGTTCCTCATGGACTACATGCTAACTGTATGGGAAAGCCAATTTCTGCCTGCCTACTGGATGCTAGCTTGAAAGAAATTTCACTTTGATTCACTTTTGTTTTGCAGGAGAAGACAAAGAGGGGAAATATTTCTAAATGAGGTGTTCCTGCATTATAGTTGTACTGCAAAAGAGGAATTGCCAGTAATTCTCACAGTAAGACTGTTGAAAGTCCTAGGGAACAAGTGTAAGCCTTGGAGCATAGGGGTTATTTTCCCCTTTATTCACATCTTCACCATAAAAACCACTAGGATTTTGGTCTGCCAAATGTATGCATCCTTAAATTTATCCCCCTTCATTGTTTATCTTCTAGTTTCGTGTTTGCTGCTATAAGCAACAGATGTGCAATAAACTGGGCAGAGCAAGCAAAGGACACTCAAACTAAACAAACAGTTCAGGTGTGTTTGATTGCTGCTTCTTAAATGCTTCATGAGTCTACCTCTAGTCAGATAAACCTAGAAAACTGGTTTTGTTGTTATTTTTGTGTTAAATGAAAAAGTAGTAGCAATTGACAGTAAAGCAGCAGTCTAATAGCCTTAAAAATCTTGGGGTTTCATTCATATCACCATATCAGACTCTCATGTCTCAGAAAAGACTGCCCAGCACGCTTCCTGTGAAGCCATTGTTCATGTACTGTTCTGCAGGGCGGTTTCATCTTTTCCCTTTGAAACAGTTTGGAGTTTGTGGGTGGGCTTTCAGAGGAAGTGATACAGAGCATCCCTGAAAATGGGATGTTTAGTCTTTCTAACCTCCCTTTCTCCTCCCTGATGGCTGCACTAGAAATAAGTATGACTAGGCTCTGCTCTTTTGGTGTCCTTTAGGTGCCTTATAAAGGGCATCTTCTGATGAATTAAACTGAATGGAGGGCAGGTGTAAAATCTTCACTTTGTTTTGGAAAATTTGGAGATGTTGCTGGAATCGTGTCCATGATTAATAGATTATCAAAGTCTTAGACTTCACAAACATGCCTTTGAACTGTCCATGTGATTTCAGGGGGGAGAGCACATTTTTCTTAAACATATGCCTAGACCTAGTCTAATAAACATCAATTCATTGTAGTTCTGGAGTTCATCTAGTTACAAGATGGGGTAATAAGACTTAGATATAAGCAGTTCCTGCAAGTGCTAATGAAAGGGGAAATAAAGAAAAAGGAAAAAAGAAAAAGCAACCTACCCACTGAAAAACCTGGGATCATGATGGCAGTGGTGGAACTGCTGGTGTGGGTAAGGTAAGGAACTGGCCGATTTTGAGAATGAGGGAAGTGAAATTTTTGTGGTCCACCCAGTAACCTCAGGATGTGAATTTTCCCACACTTGGAAAGTCAGTGTCACAATGACAAAACAGTACTAGTAGATATGGTGTTAAGATAACATAAGCTACTTAAAATATTTGCAGGAGCGTTTGGTTTCTTGTTTTGTTTAGCTCCCCCCACCCAGTGTAACTTGTAAATTAGCTTTCCTTTTTGTGGGAATACATTTGTTCTGTGCGAGATTATTTTCTTTCTGGTTAGTCAGTTGACAACTCTATCTGGGCCCTAAAGCCTAGGATAAAGATGCTTTGCGTGATCCTATCCTATTGCTGTCTGGAGGGTGATATATAGGCATTAAAGCCTCTTTTTATAGCTCACTTTGTGTTCATATTTGCCCCAGTTGATTGTTGCTACAACGAAGTTGTGCTTTTGGCATATTGCAAAGCTGGAGGAAAAATGCAGGCTAAAACTCTGAGTGTACTCAGAATGTTCATTGTTTCTAAAATTAACTTAGCAAACTGATCGATCTGTCATGCTCCTGGAAACAAAAATATCTGGCTCTGTGAGTTGCAATATCGTCAGGCTGGAAAAAGGGCATAATAGATTCTTGGTTTGTGAAAGACCTTGTGAGTGTATCTGGGTAGCTGGAGTAGTGGGAGCTAAGGAATGTGTTTTAAGTGATGGGCAATCAGTGCTATTAGTTATAATGTAATTATAACTACTAGTAAGAATGACTGAAATTGGGAATGAGTTTTTGGTATATATTATGTCAGACAAAAGTCTGTGACCCGAGGTTATAACCTGCTTGCTATCATATTTTGTCAGTGTATTGTGTGGGCTTTTTTTCCTATTTTTGCTTTTGATATGCATGTTCTACCAGAGAGGGGATATATAGCCTACTGCAAGTGCTGACACTGCCCACTGCTGTTTATAGTTTGTTTTTTTTTTTTTCCCCAAAAGGCATCAGCTGATAATGAGATTTCTAGTGGCATAAATGGACTATATCAATATAAGGAAATGATGGAGTATCTTTACTTTTGTGCTGCTTTTCAGACTCTTCTGCAATGACTACAGCAAGATATAGGCCTACGTGGGACTTGGTACTTGACCCATTAGTGTCCTGCAAGCTCTGCCTTGGTGAATATCCTGTGGAGCAGATGACAACAATAGCACAATGCCAATGCATCTTCTGTACCCTGGTGAGTTTGGTTTGGTTTTGGTTTTTGGTGTGGTTTTTTTTTTTATTTGGCATAAAAACCAATGCATGATTTTTAACTGCAGAAATCATGTGCATTTCTGTTGAGTGGGTTTCACCCTGAAGTACTGATGCTGCAGTGGAAATAAATACTGTTGCTGCATACTTGGCACAAATGCTAGCAGGTAAACTTTTTTCAGTTTTCCTGTTTAAAAAGGAAAAAATATTATTCAGTGCTTCAGTAAACTGCTGTATACAGTTACCTCCTCAGCAAGGTTATTCACACTCTTTTTTTTTTTTTTTTATTTATTAGTGGCTTGGATTTAGTTTGTTTTGGGTTTTTCTCCCTTTAAACTAGACTAGAATAGAATCCTTTCAGTGGGAGGGGACCCAAAACATTCATCTGGTCCAACTGCCTGGCCACCTCAGGGCTGACCAGAAGTTAAAGCATGTTGTTAAGGGCATTGTCCAAATGCCTCTAAAAGAGTGAGGCATGGGGCATAGACCACCTCTCTAGGAAGCCTGTTCCAGTGTTTGACCACCCTGTCTGTAAAGAAATGCTTCCTAATGTCCAGTGTAAACCTACCCTGCAGCAGCTTCGAACCATTCTCATGTGTTCTGTTACTGAATACCAGGGAGACAGATCAGCACCTCCCTTTTCACATCCCCTCTTCAGGAAGCTGTGTAGAGCAAAGGGGTCACCCCTCAGCCTGCTTTGCTCCAAACCTGACAAACCCAAGGTCCATAGCCTCTCCTCACGGGACATGACTTCCAGCCTTTTCACCAGTTTTGTGAAATGTTTTAAATAATAGATAATTTTTTTATGATTATTCAGAAGACATGGGGGGTGTTACAAAACGGCAAAAAAACAATGAAAACAGCTCAGTTTCGAATACATGTAATATTCTGAAAACTCCAAGTTGTCACAACCAACTTTAAAGTTGATGTTCCTTGGGAAAAGAGAAAGCGAGCACGCAGGCAGGTAAACAGTCTGTTGCAGACACTGTGCCTGTCCAACTAAAAAGTACATATCGCTTCATTATGTACTTTGAAAGGAGTGTTTGTTCAAGCATGCAAAAGTATATAAAATAATAGGCTTCATGGAGAACAGAATAATAGGTTTCATGAAAACTGTTCTCTACTGTTTGACTATTTACAGCTGAGCTTTTCTTGTCTCTCCCTGTTGCCTGGATGCAGGGAAAATTTTAATTTTATTTTTCAGTAACATTTAAGTGGCAGCAGAAAAGCTGGGTTACCAGATATGCCTTTTCTTCTCTACTTTGTTCATCCTTATGTTTGCTGCCATCACTGATCTTCCATTATTTTTCTTGGTAGAATAGGTTTACTGACTCCTACTGCTGTTTTGAAAGGTATAACCTGTTATAGATATTATTTGCCAATAACATGTTCTTAGTATGTGACATAAGTAAATTTACTGTGGTGATGTTGTTTGTTTGTGTTGAATTCTATTCAGGTGGAATCATCAGTCCATTTTTACCACTTGTATTTAATTGTCTTGAATGATTCATTCAGCTTTGGCATGTTTAAGTCAATCGGCGTACCTCAGAACCGTAGGATCATAGAATAGTTAGCGTTGGAAAGGACCTTAAGATCATCAATTCCAACCCGCCTTGCCATGGATAGGAACACCTCACACTAAACCATGTCACCCAAGGCTCTGTCCAACCTGGCCTTGAACACCAACATGGATGGAGCATTCACAACTTCCCTGGGCAACCCATTCCAGTGCCTCACCACCCTAACAGTGGAGAGGAAGAGTCCCTCCCCAGCATCCTTATAAGCCCTCTTGTCTACTGTTTGTATGGGCTTCACTACAGTGACATCTGAGTGCCCTGAAAAAATTATTTACCTTAGAGGTTTCCTGTGAATTAATAAGAAGTAGTATTACTCTTGCTTTCATTGATGGTGGGGGGGAAGACGTAAGAATCAGTCCTGATAACTGCAAGCGGCAATAGCTATAAATCTGTTCCAGCCCAGGAATTCAGCATGACTGAAACCCATGGCTTCTATTTCTACCTTGTGGACAGCCTTCTACTTATTAAATTGTGTAAGAAAATACTTCCACAAAGAATCAGGCAGTGGTTGAGTGTGGCAACTATGCACTGATGTTCCTTCAGTCACGATTTTCAGAAACTTGCTGTTTCTGGGTATCACCATTGCAATCCTCAATACGAACTGCGTTTTGTAAACAGCCAAATGAAAAGTTACTAAAAAGCAACAGGAAAAAAAAAAATGCTCTTCACTCAAGATTTGGATGGAGTCTGTGTACAGTAGATCCAGTACCTTATGCTAGGATAAGTGGAAATATAATTGGAGAAATATTTAACCATCTCTGTTTTGTTCTTGATTGACCTATATACAATTTTGTCCCAGCTTCATGCTTTTATGTAAGTGATCTGAGGTAACTAATGGCTTCTGCAGTGACATGAGCAAATAAGAAAAAGGGATACATCCATTACAAGTGTGAAAACCTTTTGCTGCAGCTCTTGCTCCTAATTCTAGCCCTTCTGCCTAAATCACAGCAAGCTGAGAAAGAATATGTATTACAAAGATATTTTTCAAGTGCAGCGCTATTGGTATGTAGGCAGAATTTAGGTCAACATGCAGATTTCTCAGTCCTATAGTATTTTTGTTTGCAAGTCTTCACTGCTTATAACCATAGAAGTGCTGTGGCAGAGATCTCATGAAGGATTGTCTCTTCCTGACACTTACTCAGTAACATAACATTGCTATTCAGAAAGATAGAATGGGGACACTGTTTCCTCTTGCTCTCTGGCAGAGCTGCACATGGATTGAATAGAGCAGACCACCACTCCTCTGCTGATAAGGCATAAATGCTACAATTTCCCATCGTATTACTTTGCCAGTTGTGGCTATTAGTACAATAGTCCATTATGATTTTTATCGTTATGATCGTTAATGTGCACACAATGCTGTTGAGGTCTCAAGTTTTGTGTATCTCATCCATTAGGAATGTATCCGTTGTTGGATTGCTTGAGGTACCAGAAGAACAAAAGTCTAGGGAGTAGAAAAGGAAGCAAGCTATCTGCTGCTAGCTTTTTGTTTGTTTTTTCCAGGTATTGTCAAGCAGCAAGCTAGTATCTCGTTTCTTCTGGAATCCTGTTAGCAATAACATAAATCTTAACTATGCTCTACAAATTTTGGACCAAAATGCTTAAAGGTCTTGCTTTTATTAATTCACTTTTCCCTACTTAAATAGCACACAGTACATAGCTAGTAACCCTACATTTCAAGATCATCACTTATCAGTTGCTTGCCTTACCAGAAGTAGTTGATTTTGTGTTTTCTTCAAAAAGCTTTTGTTATGAAACTTTTATCTCCTCCAGAAGAAAAGGAAAGTGAAACAGAGCATCACTTTTCCTTTTTGTTTGTTTTGCAATAATTAAAGCACCAAAATTTTTCAGTTATTTCAGTCATTTCAATTTTCCAGTTATTATGTCTTTGCTTTTTTTTGGGGGGGGTGAGGGAAGGAGATGGGGAGAGAGCAATTCTAGTCTAATTTCTGCCTGAAATTCTGACCACTTTGCATTCTACAATGAAATGCTCATGTGTCTTAAGGGACAGGATGTTTTCTTGATGTGTTACCAGTTTTATATGTACTAAAATTAGAACAGATTTATGTTCTTGTGTGGAAATCAACCACATAGTTGGTTAAATCTGTTCTGATTCAGGATTAGATGTATATGTGTACATATCTATTACATAATTTATATATAAATAGATGCATAGAAGTGTCAAATAATGTGTTGCAGTACAGTGCTCCATCCCTGGTGGTGTTCAAGGCCAGGTTGGACAGAGCCTTGGGTAGCGTGGTTTAGTGTGAGGTGTCCCTGCCCACGGCAGGGGGGTTGGAACTAGATGATCTTAAGGGCCTTTCCAACCCTAACTATTCTATGATTCTAATGCCACATTTACTGAAGACAGGCTAAGCTTCTCTTCACATTAGGTTGTTCAGTTCTTTTCAGGATGTTATGTGGTGCTGATCATTCTGGTACTGGATGCTTTGTTGCTTACCTTTCTCAAATTTAAAATCAGTCAAGTAGGGCAGTCCAGGCAAGCAAATATTTAGAAGTATGAAGCCTGAGAAAGAACTTGTCTTTAATTGGAAAAAATTATTTTGATTTCTAATCTGCAACCCCCTTGTTACCAATTGAAGAAAAGACTATTTAGAAATGAGCGAGGGAGAGGTTCTACAATCAGAAAGAAGATAACCAAACTAACCTACCTTCTGCTGCTTGTGATTTGTTGTTGGCCAGCTGTGGACATGTAGATCAGCTTTGTGGTGTTTGAAACTAATACTGCTATGCCAATTCTGTATCTGTTTAGTAGATAGTTATACTCTGATTCTTACCCCCAAGCTCTACATTAAGCCCTTGAGACAGCTGGTTAATCTTCCCTGGACATCTCGTTGTCCCTCTGAGTTTGGTAGAACTGTGATTTAGTTCTCTAAGTGTATTCTCTCTCAAGTAGCATAACAGTAGGATGGTGATAGACTCTCCTGCTCTCAGTAGCCCCCTTTAGGCAAATACAGCAATCCTGGTTAATAACGATTTTTCATATGTGTCTATTCTAGTCATTCCTCTAGCTGAGCTTCCTCATAGGCTGGAGACCTGAAAGGAAGACCCTGTGATCAGCAAGGAAAATATCCTGCCTGTAACTGGCAGCACGCATCTTTTTTTTTTATTTATTATTTTTTCTCCCCTGTTGTCATGCTTGACTGGAAACACAGAGCTTTGTTGGCCTCTGAGCTGAATCACAGGAAAAAGTATGATTTACTTAATGTTATCCCTCACTCCAAATAAGACAGAGACAATGGCAGTTTCTCCTTGCCCTTGGGCAAAGCAGACACCAAAAGCAACATGGATTGGAGCAGGTGGGCTTGGCTGCGTTCTCTATCCCACTTGGTTTGTCCCTGCTTACCAGGGAGAACCTGCCTCAGCAGGATAGCATCAAGCTTAGGAG